TATAACTTATCACTTATAATATTTATAATCTTAAAGAGACGTTTTAGTTTTTAATATGTCTTACGTTTTTTAATTATTTTTCGAAGCAATTCTTTATTTTTATTCTCATCTTGAAATTATAAGTAAACAACAAACATTATAATATTTTATTTTTAAAAATATGAATTGGAAATACATTAAAATAAATGTAATATTGTAATTGTTCACGTGTATCACTTACTTTCACTATATTCATGATTTTCTAAACGCTCTATAATAATATATTATTGTTATTACATAATACACAATATTCATTTTATCACAACAAAATGAAAAATAAAATCATAGTTATTTTGGAATGATAAACGTTTGTTCATACCAATACAATCTAAAATACAACAATAAAACAAAAAAAAAATAATAATTTCTGTTATAATATTATAACACAGGTAGGTACGTAATTAGGATTTGTTAAAGAGGTTTTTTTAATTTTATGTTTAAATAGAACTTATTTTGGGGGCTTCACGCACAAAACAAAAAAAACAGTAAAACTAACACATTACTCGTTGCACTCGGAATCTAATAAAAGACTAGTTGAAGTTTCGAGGGCTACCTATAATGGCTGTAGCTATATAAGTTTGGCCGACAATAGCAGAAAGTTAATGGCAAATCGTCAAAAATATAAGTATTCTATTGCTATAATTTTATCAACTCACCGCTAATACACCATTCTAAAATGGTTTTTACTTCCGAATCTATAAAAATAAATTAAGTATCGTACCTGTATTAATTTTACATTTATCACAATTATAAGTTTGGAAGCTGAATACCAAAAATGCATAGGTAGGGGTGACTGGGGATAGTTGTAACATTTTTAATATTTATGATTATACATATCTCGGAAATTAATCATTCCTTAAGTTTTTTTTTCATACCAACAGATAGGTTATGGTATCTAGTTATTTAACAATTAGTTACAGTATGTTAAACATAATTACCTACATAAACTAAAACAGGTAGTTGATATTAAATTTTGTTTTATTACAATTTACCTTTATACCGGGATCAATTGTAATATAAGATGAGGTAAATAGTAATACACATAAAAAATTAAGATTTGTAAAATGTTTTGTTTCTTTATAACAACTTTTTTTAATCAACTTGTTTATTAATAGTGCCTGTAATAGTAAAATGTTAAATAATAGAAGAATAAATAATAAAAGAAGAGCTAATTTTAATCGCAATAGTTTACAATCTTGAAATTGTATCCATTCTTCATTCTTCTTGTTAGTGACGTATACAGAATTTTGTTTGGGGGGGAGGGTGTTAAAAAAAGGAATGAATGGAATTGTTTTAAATTTTGTGTGTTTTTATTATAAACATACATTAAATATTTTATTACTATTTTACAACGCTGATTATAAAAGTTGAAATATGTAAAAATTTATCTTTTCTAAAATCTATAAACGTATGTTCTTGTCCAATTTGATTATTCAATCTAATTCTATCATTAACCAACACTTTATTTTTAATTAACACTTTTTCCAATCAACCTACTACAGCTTATGATGGCCTGCCCTTTGAGTTACCGTCTGGCTTAGATCTTACTTTTTATGACGTTTTACTTGCTCTGATATTTTTACGTATCATCTCTTCAAACGATCCTGGTGAAATATATGCTCACCTTGTGTACTGCTGCTACCATGCTATAATGCTTCTTCTCGGTTTTTATTTTTCATTGCCCTTTTAGTGAATATGTTTTCCCCGGTGTTTGGAAAATTTGTTCCGTTACTCCTGGTTATAATTCTGGTGATCCAACTGATGTTAAAACCTATCGTCCTATATCAATCATCCCTTATGCCACTAAACTATTCGAATCATTTGTACTTAATAGGGTTAAGCGTAGTTTGAACCATGCCATTATTGAAAAATAACATAGATTCAGGACTTGAAAGACCATTTTAACTAGCAGTGTTGTGCTTACATCATATGTCACTGAATGTCTTGAGTAGAAAATTTAAGTCGACGTAATCTTCACAGATTTGTTGATTTGGTGTTTCAAAGGTAGTCACTAAATTGTTTATATTATCCATCCAATAAAATCAGAAGCCGGAATTTGGAATGATGTTGACGTGCGACGGGTAAGGGAATTTCATTATTCTAAATAACATTGTCGTCATCACGTGAAATTTTTTATTTTAACAGTTTGCGAAGATATTGAGTCAGTCGAGATAAAGTAATTAAAAATATTGTTCTTTGGATCTTTGTCCATTTTATTTACGGTATTAAATAAATAATAAAACCAAGCACAACATTTGTTCAACTATCGGTGTAATGACGATGTAGAATATAGACTAACTGCATACACATTACAATGCGGGCTATACTATTATGAAAAACGCTATCGAAATTTAAAGTTAGAATGTTAGGTATTTAAATTTTATCTCATTGATGACCATTTTTTTATTATACAGCAATTTTCGAGGGGGAGGGGTTACAACCCCTTAACCCTCCTGGATACGCCACTGCTCCTTGTAGTATAAATTTCCATACACAATACACACCAAACAAAATGAATCTTCCTTAGATTGATAGTTATTATAAGTAATTAATATTTGTTATAATTAAAACGTTGTTACAATTAACTCAAATGTATTAAATTTTACCCAATTAACTTTGATATTTGTTTTTAAGTAAAAAAAAAAAATGTACGCACAACTAATGACAGTTGTTGAACAATAATCTATGTACAATTTCCATTTACATGAATGCACACAATTATATAAATCATTTAAGTTTTAACAATAAGACGAAAAATCAAAATGTTTAATTTATTTATATTTTAGTAATAAAAACAAATTGATATTATCAGTCCATAATTTAAAAAACAAACTACAAATAAATAGGGCCTATGACCTATATTACAATTTACCCCATGTTATATTTAAATAAACTCGTATGAAGGGTTCTTTATGTAAAACATTTTAATAGAAATTACTTACTATTATGTATAAATACGTAGGCATGGGTGTCTTTATTCTTTCTTAACACTGAAAAGCAACCGAATACGTTAGTTTAAAGTAAATTAACGTTAAAAGTATAACTTTTTGAATTTCCTCGTATTATTGTTAATATTGAGAAAAAAAAATAAGGTCAAAAACAGGACAATTCATCGCAACAACTAGTTTATGATGACATTAACTTTTTCCAGCTTTTATTCTGTAAGAAACTATTCGTAGACTTTCTATTCGATAAAACACTAATAATGGTAAATAGCTGTTCTAAGATAATGGAGACTGGTGTAGCCACTATTATAGGTGGGAAGTTGGGAAGATAGGATATAGACGGGAATTTAATGTATATCTGTACGCAACGATTGGATATTGCTAACGAAAAAACGATTCTGAGCTGAGTTCGGTTGACAATAGTTAATGAATGTTGTCATTGATGGTGTGGTTAGATGTCATAAACGTAGTCCATGGATAATGTATAAATTATTATTATTATTCATTACATTATCCGTGGACGCGGTCCGCGCCATACCGGATTCTCTTTGCCATCATCGCTGTTTCAGTTCGCTTTAGTCCATTGAGCAAAAAACGTCACAAAATCACGTGCTTGCCGTTGTGTTCCGCGTCACAATACTCATTATTTTACTCAACATGTCTAAATTATTTATTTTTATTGTACCTTTTTTTTTTGTATATATCCGGCCTGTCAGCGATATTTGCTAGTTTTATAAAGTTACCATATTGTGTTATATAATTATATTTATAAAACCTTCTGTTCCTATCTAAGTCAATTGTGTGTTTACGATTATTCCACCTGCACAGTCGGTGATCTTGCAGACGCTAATCTCACTCTACGGTTAGTAATGGTATCCTGTTATTTCACTGCGTTGCAACGGGCGTCATTCGATTGTGTCCCGTTTCAATGTGCTATACCTTTCCAGTGTTTTAATTGCGTCGACAAGTCGGATAGGTAAATTATATTTTCCTACCTTTTTTATGTTCTGATCGCGTCCTATTGTATAATATATGAACATTCAAGTAATGACTATTGTATACATGTATAGTTCTGGGAACGATAGATTGGATAATGAATTGTCATAATTAGTAATCATCTTGTCAGTAATATAGGGCCTAATCTATCAGTAATAGGGCCAGCAAATTATGTTTGCATGTGAGCCACGTAAAATTGACCATGGGAAAAACATTGGATGGTCAGGTCTAAACTCTAAACCAGAAACATTTAATTTTTGACCTTGTGCCTTATGAATTGAAAAACATAGTTTCACGGAAAATTGGAGCCGTTTAAACTGGAATGGTAGATCGGTTGGTATCGTTGGTAAGATCGTTTCCCCAGCTCCACAACTAGTAAGAATCATATACTCAAGCAGATAGTTTTTTAAAGATTTTATTTGCAATTTTGTGCCGTTATTCTTTACCATAGATACCATAGATACGTTTTGACCATTTTTTAAATTAATTTTTCCATCGATATCCACACTAGTATATGAATTTCAGTTTTTGTCATCCGTGTTACCACGGAAACCCACAATTTAACAAAAATAATTAAATTTCTGAACTAAAATTACCTATTATCTGAATTTTAGGGGATGGTAATCAATATGGGTGAATTTTAATAGCTGTAAAACTTCTCCGGACAATGCGGAACATTTTATAATAACTTGAGTTAAAATCGCTCCAGTTGTTGTCCAAGTGAATAATAACTTGTTTCATACGTTCCCTTTTTTAAAAAGAAGTAGGTGTATACCAGAATATTAAAAACATTAGTTGAAGTACTTTGTTTCTTTACTTAGTCCCCCCCCCCAATCAAGCATTGATTATCACTGCTATTATATGTATACACAATTTAAAGAAATATTTAAATAAATTATTATTTCAAATTTAATATATTATTATATTATTTATGCACAATATTGATAGTACTAACTTAATCTTTTTTGAGCCATTGGGTTAACTGCGGAAAAATAAAGATTTTTAATTAATAAAAATATACTACAATTCGATACATCCGATTATTTGATGTTTAATCAATACCCATTTATTTAATTCGAATTGCCCTTTTTTTGGACTAACTCTCGGACCACCCCTCTCCCCTAGGTTTGTATATGCAAATTATAAATGTTTACATAAAAGGTTGCAAATATTAACTCATTAGTCAACTTACTCATTTCGTCTTGAATTTCTTCTATTTGGCTAGGTTCAATATTAATATTTTCAATATTTTCATTTTGGTTTTCATTACCTTCTATGGTTTTAGTTGGATTTGATTTCTTAGCTTCAACTATTTCCGTTGTACCTGTTTTGTCTTTAGTATTTTTCTTTTTACCACAAATACGATTCAAGAAGCCCAGTGCCGGTTTATTGTTTTTGGTTTTCGTATTATTGTTTTCATTGTTTTGGTTTTGGGGTCCACTATCTCCTTTTGTTTCGGTTGATTTTGGTTTCATAATTTCAACTATTTTCGTTGGGCCTGTAAATAATGATAACATATCATAATGGTAACTAAAAATATTATTCTTTTATTACTAGCGAATTATGTCAAGAAGTACGAAAAAAAAAATGTTGACAAATATTAAATTATCAGTTCATTTTAATATTTTACTAGTTTTGGACATTGCATAAGAAGATTTGCATTTAAATGTTTACATCGAGTACAATATAAAATCAGCAACTTGTAAAATTGTATGGTCAATAAAACTATTGTTCATTGTTCATTCATCACCATAACAATGTTACTCTCTTATTATTAGTAGGTATTTGATTTCTTTTAGAATTTGAGTAATGTATTTGTTTGTTTATAATATGTGTGATTCTAAATTTTTTTCTGTTTGTTAAAAATTGTATACTAGAAATCTAGTAGAAAGTCTAGTCTTGTTTTTCTTTGTAGTTTTTTTAATAATTTAAAACCGAGAAAAACATAGACAAATGGTAATTTTTACCGAAATAAAAACGGTGTTATTATTATTATTATTGTTATTTTTTTTTGTAAGTCGGTTAAGAATTATCGTACAAACGTGCAATTTTCACAGAATACTGATATTCAAAATTTTTAGACGTGGTACAATTTTTAAAGCATTGAAGCTATGTATTGATTTATTTATAGACATTTGATATTATCAAGGTTTTCCGTTTTTATATTGTTATTAAAATTGTATCGGGTAAGTAGAAAATTTTGAATATTTAACACGAGGTTTATCATTGAGTTCGAAATATAAATTTTATTTTGTAAAAATATCAAGTTTAAATTTCAACGACAATCGTAAAAATTACAACATTTTAGAAAATGTTTAATCGAACTAAATTATAAATTATACAGGATGATAAATATAAAGTAAGAAAAAAGAAGAGTAACGTTACATTTTTGAAATAGATACTAATGTCTTACATTATCTTAAAAACAATTTTTCGAGATAAAGAGTGTCTTCCGTTATACTGAACCCGTTGTATTATTAAAAACTATTTTACTTACGGAACATGTATGCCATGTATCTATAGTAAGGCGCTGAAAAGATAACATAATTATAGAAATACTCGTATTATAATTAGAGACCAAATTTATATGTTTTTGAAATGCACAAAAACCATAAAAAAAAAAACATTCAAAGTATTGAAAAATGCCAAAATAATAAAGGTGTTTATTAGACCTTTAACAGATTCAACCATAGGCATGCGCAGTCATTGTTTGCAGGTGGTGCGTTCCTCTACTAATACCCTCCCCCCCTTAAAAATGGTTTTATCTATAGAAATATACAATACAGTGGTGGGGGGAGATTAGGGGTTATATCTCCCCTATTGGCTTAGAAAAACAAAAAACTTATGTATACCTACTCTAATATCGAAATGCATATATTATATTTAAGTTTCGAGGAAAAACTTGATATATTGATTAAAAATTGGCTTTTAGGATTTGATTTTTAAATTACCAATTTTAATAGTCTAGTTGGGTAGAGGAGACAACTTTTGGAAGACAAGTAGCTAGTGAGTTGGACAATGTTTACAATCTGTAATCAATATTATTGCGATAACGCGATGATAAATTCAAAATCACAGTTTTCACTGCACTCTACATCATCCGATTTAAAAACCATTAGTTAAATATTGTATTTATAATTTGTTAATTGACTATTAACAGTACTAAATATAAAATATAGATTATTATTATATTGGTGATTATCAATAATATTAATAACATCGACTTGTACACATTGCCAAACTTACATTATGACGGTTGGCTTTATGTATGAGTTTCGAATCATGTACCTCTGAATAGCGGACACTCTCAGTCTCAAAAATTTCATCCAATAATCGGAGATGTCCGTTATTCAGAGGTGGTATATTTTTGAAATTCATATAGCATACATACATATGTAAAAAAAAAAACAAATGTGCTTGAGTAAATTAAATAATGTACTATATATGTATAATGTTATAGTTGCGACTGAAACTACACCGCAAGAAGCACTTTTAATAGTTTCAGGCTTAACGTGGGCTTGAATATAAGTCACCCAAGATTCACCCAGACTCACCAGTGTCTAAATCAGCAACAGTTTTTTGTAACAGCTATTTACGATGAAGCTTTTTGGTTTATTGGATTATGACCTGTTCCAGAGGTTGGCAGTGAGACGTCATATTTGGGGGGGGGGGAAGACTAGCTCGACATTTTTCATTTTAAAATAGGGATGAGGAACGGCATTGTTAAAAAAAGGAGTACTTTTCTTTGACTTTTTCTCATTTTTTTATCAACTTCGTAATTCAGTCTATCATAATCTGTGCCATTTTGTCATTATTTTAAGATTAAGATTAAAATATAGTGACCGTTACTTGGAGAGTTCGCTATTCGGAGGTTTTCCCATTTGCAAAGTAGTGAAAATGTCCGCATTCTCGAAAAAACGTTCGCTATTGGGAGGTGTCCGTTAGAGGAAGTTTCACCGTAATTAGATACCTAGTATAAATTTGTGGGCTCATCAAACACACTCAACAAATTAATTTTATTTTTTATGATAAATTTGGGTTTGTAGGTGGTGCACGTGTACACCCTGTACCCGTGCGCATGCTTATGGATTTAACTTATAAAATAATAATTTTTAACTCAAAAATAATAAATAAAAAGCAATTACACACACACATATATATATATTATATATTTATAATTGTACACATAACAGACAATAGTCTCCATTTCTGGGAAAAATTCGACAATAATTATTGTTTAATATAATATATATAAACTTTTCACCTTCATAATTAGCTAGTTGCCCTAAAAAAAAAAAAAAAAAAATAATAATAATAATAATCATTCAGTTTAGCAATAACAATTTTAACGAATTTAATACCATTGAAATATTACAAAAGAATAATAAAATGCTAGAAATTTTTCGAATCGTTAATAAATTGGGTATTTGAATATCTAGTAGGTGTGTATTATAAGTCCATTAAGTGTTATCTTATCCTCGTATATACATGCAGGGCTTACTCTAAGGATTTTGTTCAACTACGCATTTTGTTTAAATAAGCCTATTAGAATAGAACTCTCGAAATATGATTTCAAATTATAGTTAAAAATCATAACATTTTAGCTTTAAGGTGGAATAATTTAAAATCTAAGAAATAAAATAATAAATATTCGTGTTTAAAATATTTTATTTTAATTAATGTCCTCTTTACTTTTTTATAATATTTATATACATAACACATAACATAATGTTAGAACGTTCTTTTTTAAAGTTTTTATTTAGTTTGCTCTGCAAATTTTTTTTATGTTGCTTCTATAAATATCCTATTAAATCACTGGCTGGCTAAAAGTATGAAGTATGGAGATATAATAAACATAGTCTAGTAGTTTACATCTTAAGTAGTTTAAATCTTTTTATGACTAAATATACTATTATTATTATTATTATTTATAATTATATATTTAAATTATAATTATCAATCATAGGTAGGTATACACAATTATTTTCTTATTGCAAAAACACATAACACATTAATATCTATTGGAACTACTATTTGGTGTATTATCTTATTAATGAAACAATAAATTATGAAAATTAACTAAGCAAAAATTGATTATCAAGTGCGCATCTAGTTTTTTCAAATACGCAAAATAAGCCCAACTGTACTTTAGAACTAGTCCTGTATATATATATATATATATATTTATTTATGTATTTTTAAACGGAGTAACCCAAATACAATTAAAGACATATGTAACAGCAAACTGATTGTGTATGTCAATCTTCCAGTCACGTTTTTTTTTTTTTTTATCAGAAACAAAATTACGAATCTCAAAATCTTCCTAACAATAGTGGTTCGACAGAGAAACATACAATTTTAATTGTGTTTTCAAAATTATGACATTACTGACAAATTTAGAAAATAATTATTTTACTATTCTTTTATGAATTCATTGGTTTTATTTGAAAGCTATTTTTAAAAAACTTACTTATATTAATTGCAACTAGTGCCGCATTGTGGGCTATATTTTGTATCACACTACCTGCATCGACTATAAGAACATAAACAAAACCAACTCTTCATGTTATAGTTGTCTATTATCAGTGGCATATTTTGGAGAGTGTACTCTGGATACCCCCCGAAAAAAATGGACCAAAGTATTATTATGGCTACCTAATTATGCTTATTAAAATATTTATGTCTAAACTTTAAAAATAAAATGTATTTATATCGTATTAGACAATGTCACAATAGAATGGTTCAATAATACATTGGTTATATCAAAATTAATATGGAATCCGAATTAGATTAACTTGAAACAATGATTTGAAAATTCTAATGATTCTAAAAAAAATATAATACTTCAATAAAATATAAAAATAGGTGCAGTTCTCGGTAACTTTTTTGTTATTTTGGTAGTTTAAATATACGTTATTCAAATTGTCATAAGTCGTTTAACCTGCAGTACTGGGCAACGTCTAAAACATTTTGATTTGCTTCCGTAAGGTCCTTATCATTGCAGGTGATTGGGCATTTGCAGTATTTCAATAGATGGTTCATTTTTTGTTCTTCATCACATTCGTATACATTTGATGATTCTTTCGAGTAACCCCATTTTTTTTAGGTAAGCTATGCATCATTTAACATTTAATCTGTAGTTTATTTAGACTTCTTCATAATACCTATCTATTTGTGTGCCCCGGTAAAAGGTTTTTTGTTGGCATTATCCTTGCTGTTTCGTCTCCTATTTTTGCTCTTCATCTCCCAATTCTCTCGCCTTTAGAATTTCTCATGATGCACTCTGTCCGTTTCATTAAACTATTTCTAGATTTAAGGCGTTATATGCCTCCCTGTAATCAATGTATTATGTGTTGGGTATTATTTAATACCTTTGTTCGCAAAGTACTTTACGGATGTCAAATTTCCAGTGGAGCTATACCAGATATTATGATGTACAGTTTGTTTACTGGTGTATTATTTAAATAACCAGGCA